ATGACGTAACAACGAGTTTTGTTAAATCCGTTTGGATTTTCGTAGCGAACTGATGTAAAATAATAACGCAGAGACCTTGCGATTTTCACCGAATCATTATCGTTTTCTAGAGGCGTTAAAGTGTTCGAAATTATATTTCTTCGTTTTTCGAATTGTTTATAGGTCGCTATTGCTTAATGTATCAGATTGTTATGCGAATAACATTTTTTTCGGATTTTCTATTTATATTATATATATGTATATTTTTTTTTTGAAAAACCCTCAAAAATATCGATACAATAGATAATCGTCGTAAGTTGTACTTATTTATAAAAAAAAAAAAAAAAAAAGAAGACGATCGTAATGTCAGTATTTGCTTTATTTGATTGCTATCGAATAATATACAAGTACATAACTTTATTATACTAGAAACGCATTTTATCTCGTCTCGAAACACACGACGTCGTGATTTAATTATGTAAATATACAATTTATTGTTATTATGTGTACAGTGTACAGTCGAGAATTTTTTTTTTTTTTCGAGTACACGTATTAATGCGATAAAATCTCAGTTTGGTAGTTCATTATACACGCAATATGGTTTTAGAAAATTGCAAACTTTAATAAATTATCTCAATTCAAAGTTCTACTCTGTTCGGCTCTATACGGTTGTAAAATAAAATTGACGAACGAAATTCGCACGTGGGTGCTGCCACTGTTGTAGGTGGGGATGTAAGATGATAAGATACGAACGGGAATTTAATGTATATCTGTAAACAACGATAAATCATCGCTAACGAAAAGAGGATTCCGTGTGGAGTTCGGTTGATAGTGTTGTTTTGTTAACAATGAAATATACTAGGTAATAATTTACTTATATATGGCATGTGCTCATATTATGTTAAACTGATAACAATAATGTGCATTTCCGTGATAACAATGATTGTTTAAAAATGATTAAAATAATAACAAAAAATAAATAAAAACGGTTGCCAATGACAGCCTTATTTTTAATCTTTCGATCTTTTTTCAACCTAATTACCGAGATTTTCTTCACTATTTCGAATATTAATGAAAAATTTAAAAAAAAAAAAAAAAAAAAAGACATCTCTTAAGAACCGCTCGGAGAACATTTCCTTTCGGAAAAGGTGCCATATTTGATGATCGGAGTATGATTTTTTGTAGAAAAAATGTTCACATAAAAAAAAAAATAAAAAATAAACATCACAATAAATCAATGCATTCTACTACTTAAACGAGTATTTCAGTGGAAGAACCTTCGAAATATATTACGATTTATTTTCATTATAAACGTATACATTTTAACCACGCTCCTCCATCCCACCCCACGTAATCTTGTCCCGGATCCGCCCACGAACTAACGGAAAACAATATTAATTATACCGGTTCGCTGAAACATCGTCGCTTTCTAATTAGAAGATATCGATTTGTATAATATTATATTCGGATTCTTATTAGATATTTTGATAAACGAGGTAAACGTTTCGCGACGGCGCGGCAGTGCAAACAGAATTACGAACTACGCGAACAACTTAAAAGCTAATCTTTTGCAGTGCGTACACCGCTCGCCGTAATATTTTATAATTTAAACTTTATGCAAAACTTCTGGTATTATAATAAAGTGTCTGCAGTAAACTACATAATATACCAGTTTATCATATTGTAATTAAATTAAAAGTTTTCAGAATTGAAATTCGAGAGCCCGTTGGCACGAGAGCTATTGTTTGTTGAACGAACAATAACGAATTTTACATTTTCTCACGGTCCCCAAAAGCTTACGGACAATCGAATTCATTAAATACATGCAATATTTCTTCGATTTTTTTAATTTTAATTTTTTTTTTTACCATTGGTTGTAGCGCTTCACAATGAGTAGACGAGTTAGTTCTATTACAAGAACAGTAATCCGCTACTGCTGGGGATTTGCATTTACACGCACATTATAACGAAAATTCATTTTCAACTATCATTAAAAAAAAAATAACTCAAAAATGTTCCACGACTACTTCAAAAATGGAAAAATAACAAAAATACAAAATAAAAATATCATTATTGTTGCTGTTATTTGTTTAAGCCGAGTAACACAGATAAAATAAGGTCAATATCGAAATCATAAACTGAACGATTGAGAATCTGCATTCCTCTAAAACTGATTAAAGTAAATTTCATGAAAACGCACTTTTTTGAAAGAATATTTTGAGTTCTTTAAATAAAAACACGGTATTTCGTGTAATATATATAAATACGCGCTTAAAACTATCAAAATGACAGAAAAATGCTACAAAATAAAAAGCAAAATGAAATAAAAATACATGAACAGTAGAGTCGAATTTTACCCCAGCTAGCTCGCTGCCAACACGATGTTGGATGGCTTTTTTTTTGATAATGATAAAAAAACCGAGCTCATACTAGAGACGGGGGAAGGGGCACACACAAATTTGGAATGTACAAACCTTGAATATGCAAATCTGGAATGTACAAATCTTGAAAAATAATTTTTTATTTTTTATCCAGTATTACCAACTTTTGGACCCAAATATATGTCCGAGGCCAAAAGCAATTCTTTTAAAAATTATAAGAAAAAGCAACATGCCAACCCTACCTTAATTTACGCCAGAAAAAGTAATTCGGTATTATTTACACCGCTATAGATAACCGTGATTAGGTGTTATTAGGTGCATAAGTAAAATTTGCAAAATTGGGACGTATAGGTTTATAATTGTGTATAGAAAGTCAAATTTTTTTTAATTAAAGTTGGTGACACTAGATTGATAGAAAATTATTTTGCAAGATTTTTACATTCCGTACTTTTACATTTCAGGTTTGTATGATCCAAATTTTGATAACCGTAAAACCCTGGACTCAAGATTTGTACTTTCCAGATTTGCATATTCAAAGTTTGTATATTCCAGATTTGAACAGGTAACCTGGGGACGGGTGTCCCATTATTGTAGGTCAGAAGTGGCAGAGAATGTAGGATACATAATTGATTAACTTATATCTGTAAACGACGAAAAACCGTCACTAACGAAAAACGATTCGGAGCAATCGGGGCCTAGTTCTGATTTGAAAATACGGTGAAAAACTCTCAACAACGAAACTATTTTTAACGAAAAATTCAAAGTGTAACGTAAAAGTTACTTAATAACGGTGGTGGTTTGCTTTATAGCCCGTACATTACAAATTTTTCTCTATTGCGATGTTTTCACTTCGCCGCGATAACCGTCGCCCGCGTGTCGTTGCGGTATCGCGTGACCGCGGCGAAACGTTTGCCGCGCGCTCGCGACCGCCCGGCTCGGAATAAAAATATTCGGCGGGAAAACAAAACGAAACGTACAAAACGAATAGATTAATAACGCGGTAAAATGTACCGGCCGAGACGGACCGTTGGTTTTTATTTAGGTATTTGTTTATTAATTTTTTTTCTCTCTCTCTCTCTCTCTCTCTCTCTCTCTCTTCTCTCCGGACGGACGTCGTTATACAATTATTATTATTATTATTATTATACGTATTAATGTACGCCGTTACGCGGCGATGTATTTTAAACGGCCGTCGCCGCCGCGCACCGCCGCCGCCGACGACCCGTTCGGGCGGACAGCGGCTCTTTGTTGCGGCGGCGTTCGCGTACCGTGTAAAAACCGACTTCAAAGTCCTCGGTGCCGCGGTGCCGCGTATACGGCGGCGGCGGCGGCGACGGCGGCGACGGCGGCGCCACACACACGGTTTTGCCGCCTCGGGTTCCGCCGCCGCCGACAGGATTGTTTATTGCGTGCGCCCGGCCGGCATCGCGGACGCGGGCCGACCCAGCGCCGCGCCGGTCAATATCGCGTGCGCGCGTGTGGCTGCGGCGGCGGCGGCGGCGGCGGCGGCGGCGGCGGCGGCGGCTACGGCGGAAGCGGACACCGGAGAGGCGCTGTCCGCCGCCGCCGCGGCCGGACGGCGGCCTAATGAGAGGGGTGGGAATCGGCGGCGTTTCACGCGCGCGCGGAGAACATCCGCGGGTAAACCGGCGATTCCGACGGGCGCGCCGGACGCGTTTTGAAACGCCGTGACCGAGACGTCAGACCGCTACGCGGCCGTAGTGTCGGTTGGGTCGGAGAACGGCCGTGATATACGTAAGCGCTTGGAATCCACGAGGAAAACAAAAAAAACACGACGCTTGAAAAAAAAAACCCCAGGGAAAAACGGCAGATGGGCGTGAAATTCCAACTCTCTAATGAATTAATTTTTTTTTTCGAAATATAATTTTCAAACAAATGGTCGACACGGGTAAATTTTTTTTCAAAATAAAACAAATTGTACATGCGTTATAGGCAAAAACAACAACGAAACGCGTAACTTTTTGCTTTTTGGCCACGTAGTACAACCTATAACAGACGTGTTAGCTTTGTAACCGTTGCCGAACAATACATCCACAAAATATCAAAATAAAAACCAAACTCAAACTCAAAAAGGAATCGTGCATACATAATGCTCAAAAATTTCAAGAAAGTTTAGAAAATTTTACCACGCCTACAAAATGTTAATATAATTAGTATTCTGTGGAAAAATACACGATTATTTCGCACCGAATCTACGCAACAACAAATATCCAATAACATGAGAACGTAATTTTTCCGATTTTCTTACAGGTTTTTTTCCCGAATATCGAGAATACGCACAGACAACCGAACATAAAAAAAAAAAAAACGAAATTCTCATACGGAATAAAACTCCGAAGGTTTCTGGTCAAAAGTCGTTTGAATAAAGAATAGCACGTGGACAATAAATTATTCACTGCTGCGCTGAGAATCAACAAAAACATAATAAGTGACTAAGAATGTATGTAGAATTCCACGGTGTGTACCCTGTATAGCATTATAGTACGCACGTTATTATCGTTGAAATGATTCATTTTATTTAGTCAGTTGTTCGAAATGTGTCTCCGAATCAAAATAAAAAAACAATAAATAGACCAACACGCAGTTGCTATTTAAAGTTTCTGTTATTATAAGTGTACGCTTACGATATATTATACTTCGTTAAAAAATTTAGGTTTTTAAAAGTAATCAAATAATTACAACTACCAAGATGGTATTGTATCGCACGCGTATTATTATCATAGTTTTGGTACAAATACTGGTAATTTTCATCCGGGAATCGGCGTGCATAAACAATCGGCGAGCGCTGCGATTGGCCTCGATGTCAGCGATACGACGCACGATGACGGATAATGCGAAAAATATGAGAATGATGACCTTACGTCGACCGGAAACAGCGCTATTCGGCATGAAATTATCGCCTCCGCGCCGCATTAAATCGCAATCGGAAGTAGATCTGGAAATCGCCATAAGTATGCATTACGAACATACGGAAACATCAAATAACAATATAGACAATGTCGGTAGCATCGATAAAATGACTAATGTCTTGCTGAAACCGATGGACGCGTTAGAAACGTTCCAACACATTTTAAACCGTATTGTGCAACTGTTGTATAATTCCTACACCTCGATATTCGCCGACATAATCTTAATCAGTTTCGTTTTGTCTCGGAACGAAAACGATAACCATAGGGTACAATTCAAAACCGAGTATTTAGACATCGTGTGCTCATATATACCTCGAATTTTGGACTATTTGTACATAAGCCACATCCCTAAAAACATTGAATATTTCTATTTAAACAAATTTCATTGCACGCTTTGTTACAGGATGCTTAATTTCGTAAAAAATAACTGTACCGCTACCGACACAGATTACGTCTTATGTACAACCAGAAAAGTGCAGGAAATATATAAGAACATTTTATCGTATTTGAATCGCGACGACTTTCCTAAGGAGTCAGATAACCAACAAACTGACAAAATGTTTATTAAAAATGCGTACGACCACATAAACAAAATCGACAGGACATTGATAATTGATTATGCGCATGTCGAGTTCAATATATTTAAAGACGTGAATAAGAGGTTTCACAATGCTATCATACAGACAGCGGATCCAAAAGCAATAAGCGAAATCGATGATCAATTGCTAAAGGACATTGTTAACAATTTCTTGCGTATTAATACCGAATACATTAACGAGCTGATGTTGAACACCTGTGATCTAGTCTTAGACCTATCCGAAGAGGATGTAAAGGATCTTTCAACGCCTAGCGTGGTAAGTAAATTATTATTATACACGTTCCGAAGACTGGAAAAACAATTTAAAGATAAAGTCGACGAATTCCAAGCCAAATACGGCAAAAACGTATTAACTCGTGTAAACGAGAAACAAATTAACAATGGCGTTTTACATGTATTTAAAGGGTTATGCGATTATACTCCGAAAATTCTTCTATATTTGGCCGAACGTCGTGTCAATATCGGGTCATTGTCTAGTCTGTACTTGTCGTTTTGCGGAAACCTTATGGATTTTATCGATTCCCGCTGTCCCCGTGTGTTTTCGAACGGTAACGTAGAAAAGGATTATACGGTGAGGTGTGTCACGGAATCGATAAAAGATAAATTGATGTGGAATTTGTATACAATAACTAAAATCATTTCGAAAAAAGATCAATATACAAGTGTATTGTGTACAAATGTCCATAATAAATATATTGAGAATATCCACGCGGCCCTGATCGACTTCAGATACCAGGAAATCGGTCTGTGGCCTATGTACAATTGGTTGAGTGGAAAATATTTTTTCACCGAAGATTATGATAACTCATCATTTAATCAAATTAAAGAAAACATAATTTACATAAACGGTATACCGTTTACATTGTCGGAGATTTACTATCAGTTTTTACCGTTGAACACAAAGTTAGAAACCGTTTTCGCTTTTCACAACATAATTTTAGGTAACCTGGACGCAATAATGAATACTTACGTGTATCGGTACGCGTTCACGATCGTTTTATATCTGAAGCACATGAACAATAAGGTCGACAAACAAAGACTACTGATTTTGGATGGCTCTACCATATGGTATGAAATAGGAAAGTCTAAGTTGTATAAATACCTTCAAAGTTTACCCGTGTCATATAATTCTCCAGAAAATATACTTAATATAGTTTCCAATATTAAATGTATTAGCTACACTGTAAATAACGGTTACAGTGCGGCCGAATCGATTCAAGAAAACATTCCCCCCAAAATTCTAAAAGAAACACGCGAATGGGCCGAACCTCAGCTCGTTGGTAAAACCGGCACCGATTACTTGAATCGTTTAAACGAAATCTTAATCGACAATTGTTTGAACGCTATGGATATTGTGTCTATTTTTGTTAACATTGCAGTGAAATCGGATGTAATAAAATTAAATGTGTTCAGCGAACAATTTCCTTTTACTACTGATGAGTTATTTTGCGCAGAGCATTTATCCGATATTTACAGTACAAACTAAATTTTTGACATTACCACACATCTAACAATACAGTATTAGTACCAGCATGTTTTATTTAATTTAAATGTTATACAAATACAAATATACAATATTGCTTTCAGTTTAGATTTTGAATTTACACTATCGATAATTGTATTAGTTTAGTACAAGTATACCATTAAGATCAATAAGCTTATGTAGTTGATAAACTATAATATATGCTAATGAATATTACACTTATTCATTTTTTTATTTTTCACATGATATAACTTATTTGTTTTTTTTTTTTAACTTATAACAAAATTTACGTCGAAGTGGTTAAATAATAACGTGGCCACACATAATATTTAATAAAACCGGCCAAAACTCCGTACTAAAAAATTGCTACGACACACAAAGGATAAAATTACAAAACGCATTTTATTGGTTTGTTTTTAGGTTGTAAGTGGACCGAAGAAATCTATGATTTAAAATTATTTTTATTTTTTTTCTGTATTCAAATATCTTCCTAGAAATCTTGCTCTTATTTTTAAGTGTGGCCCATTTTCCGATTTATAGGGAATTTAAGTTAATAATTGAAATGCTTATATTAGCCTTTTGTAGGTGTGGTAAAATGTTCAAAACATTTTAACCAATTTTGATTTTTAATTATTATTATTTATTAATTAGTATTTGATAATTATCATGTTTTTATATGTATTTTTGTTTATTAGGTATTTGTTCAAAATATCAACAACTGAATTCCATTTAGAATCGTGAATTTCGTTAGAAATGGTTAACCGTTGCTTAAATTAAGTTAACTATAAAAGTTCATGCGCCCTTCCTCTTTGCCATAGGACAGCTTTTTTTCTTTTAAATTATCTAGACTCGTGTCGATTACATTTTTATTGGACTTCGGCAATTAAATATATCTATAAACACGGTAACGGATATTAATAGAAATTTTCGAATAAATGTGGACCGTTCACGTTAATGGTCAGGGCAACGCTACCGGGATTTTCACGGAATCCCGGTGGGCCAATATACGGTCTCCGGAAAGAGGATAAATGATGAACCTCACTGCGATATTATTACCTACTAGACACAAGCATAATCACACTCATTTAAACCAGACGCGAATCTAATAATGTTTTATGTAAGAAGTCAGTCTTATAACAATAATATATTACAATAGTTTATGACCATCTCCGCCTCTACCGGATGGGAATCGCACGTAGAAATAATTGGGGGAAATTGTGTCTCCGGGAAGTTTTATCGAAGTTTTACCTAATCTACAGGTGCATTTCGAGACTATGTATAATCGATCGTTCCGGACCTAGTATATTTGACTCCCGGAGGTGGCATAAATGCGACGTTTCATGTTAAATTTTGAACAATTTTCTGCACCCTCGGATTAAATTAAATTTTGACTTCGAATTAACGAAAATGTTTACTGTTAATTTCATTTTTTTCCCCTTAAATACCTATATAATACGTTTAATTTGGCTTTTTCGATTTTTTTTTTTTATTAATTTGAGTGTGTCCATCATATGCCGACGGTGCCTGAGACGAGAACACCCACTTCATCCTACCCCCTCCCACCGTACTGCCGATCAGCACAATGTTGTCAAGAAAAAATATTACTATAACAAGTGACAATATAATAAAATAGTCAATATAGTGTTATCCCTAACAACAATGTCTGCACTATACACATAACAAATAATGTCTATTAACATAAACGTGGTTTAACTGGTTTACTAGGGCAAACAATATTTGTTTTGTTACAATTCTAAATTTTATAAAAATATTACAATTTATTGTGTTTGTTTAAGTACTTTTAGTAATTAAGAAAACTGCAAGAATGAAATAATGAAAAAGAAACGGACATACTTTGCACGATGGATGGCCTAATGTTATAGGTGAGAAGTTGTGAAGTTAATATTTAGGAGAGATTTCAATGTATATTTATATGCAACGATCATATACATGTCTAACAAAAACAATTCTGAGCGGAGTTTGATTTTGCATATTTTGAAAGGCCGTAATATATACAATTTCCGTCAAAATTTGATAATACAATTCTTGTGCAAAAAATTTGTATATTACATTCCACTTTTTTTTGACCCCCATATACTACTTATACTAAACTTCCAATTATTCTTTCAAGCGTTTCTGTTTAGTTTTATCCACAGAATACCTACCGAATAAAAATTACGTAAAAAAACTCGTAAAATTAAAATGTCAATAATAGCTCAAAAACGACTAAAGCGTTTTGAACATTTTACCACGTATAGAAAAGGTATATAAAATTAATCTGCTTAAACTTCAATTCTCTACCAATATTTTTAACGAATCACAACAATAAACAAAACTTAAAATAATACGTTTTTTTAAAATTTTCCAGATTTTCCAACGTTTTTTTCCCGGTTTCTCATTATTATTATAAAAACGGCTTAAAAAATAAAAAAAATAACCACCTTAAAGTATCAGCCAATAAAAATTTTATTCCGAAAAAGGTGCTGCAATTGAAAACCGGAGCAAGATTTCCGGTAGATTTCTGGTAAACAGAAATATTAAAAATTAACAATAAATAAGCCCCGGTGATTAACGAATCATGGCAGAACCAATAAAAACAGTGGCCGAACGCGTGTGACGTGTACATCACACCACCAGGCGCCGTGTTAAGGCACCTCCGCGCGTTATTGTGTCGGCCGTAACTCATCGCGCCGTGTTTGTAATCCAGCGGTTTGATCGGTAACGCCAATTCCGATTGGATTCCATTAACCGCGTTACCAACGCTATTCGAACCATGTTCGACTCCGTGACGTCTGGCCATAACGGTTACGTGGCTATCATAGTAAAACGTTAACGGTTTCGCAATAATAATTCCACCGTGTTTAAAATACACGATTTATTGTCTTTACGATTATTCGCGTATTAGACAATTGTATTGCTGGAAATTACTGCATCAGTACTACTATAGGTATCGTCATTATTGCCGTTTACTGTATTGACGACAGCGCGCTGACCGTAATATTTCTAGTCTTGTAGCTGCAACTGATCCACGCGCGCCTTGCCTTGTACAGTACACAGTATGAACGCGCGTAGTATTATCAACGATACAATAACGTGCGCGTCGCTTTGGTTTTGTTATATCGGCGATGAAACGAACGAGAAATTATTCGAAACCAGAAAACGCAAAGACTGTTCGATTTCGGCCCGATTACTGCCCGTCCGAAATAACGGCCGCCAACACCGCCGACCGGATACCGCGTAAGACCGCGCGGTCACGCGACCGGCCGACTCGCCTATTTCGGACGGCGCGACGAAGGCCCCGTAAATGTGACGAACGCGACAGATATCATTACTAGTGCTCGGAACTTATTGCACTTGCAAACTCACGAGAAAGTGCTTAAAACCGTTAAAACCGACAATAAAACGCTTCGACGAAATATCATAAAAAACGAACGATTGTAGACGGGTTTTAAGGTTTAATAGTTGATAAGGTCTTATAATTGACGACACGAACTTACGAAATGCGCTTTTCAAACGCGACATAAATGATTAATAAAAAGCGATTCTGTTCAAATAAAATTATGCGTAGGTATTATATTTGAAAAAAAAATACGGACATACTTCACACATGGGCGCAGCCACTATTGCGGATAGGAAGTTGGAAAGGTAAGATACAAAAGGGAATTTTAATGTATATCAGTAAGCTACGATAAACCGTTACTAACGAAAAGGCGATTATGAGCGGAGTTCAATATAGTAGCCTTATATATTTGAATATAGCTCGGTCTACAGTATTGTTTTTTCAAAAATGTGCGTTTCCATGACAAAGATTGTTTAAAAAAGATTAAAATAATAAAAACTCGATAATAACAAAAAATAATTCGTATATTTGAGATTTATTGACACTTTTATTTAGTTAGATATAAAAAATATATTTCTATTAAGTGTTAATAAGTTTTATTTACGCAACTACTTAATTTCGACTTACGCCATCATCAGGTCGCTGATTTAAAATTTATATTGTTCCTTTTTTAAATTGTTTTATGTAAACCATTGTATAACATTGTTTATCAGTAACCTGATGATGGCGTAAGCCGAAACTAAGTAATTGCGTAAATAAAACTTATCAACACTTTATGTCGATATATTTTTTAAACGAACATTTTCTATGTATAAAAAATAAACGAAAACGGTTACCATTGACAACCTTATTTTTAATTTTTCAGTCTTTTTAACCTAAAGAACCAGGGTTTCCTCGTCATCTCGAATGTTAATGAGAAAAATTTAATTTCAAACCATTATCTCTTTAAGGTATCACCCGGGAAACATTTCCTTTCAGAAAAGGTGCTATACTTGATAACGAGTAAGCTTTCTGGTAGAAAAAATTATTTGCATAAAAAAAAAATTATAAACACTATCGTAAAACCAATACATTCCTCGCTCTGCTCAGAATCAAAAATAACATGTAATATAATATGTGCGGAAAATTGTATACAATAACAAGTCGGAGTCGTTATATGAGGAACATATTTAACGCCCTTCCACCGTTTTTGATTGGTTTTTTTTGTACTTTTCAAAGCCTTTTTTTTTTTTTTTTTTTTGGCACTCAGCACGTTATTGATTTCGAGTCTTCGGTCTTGTTGCAGATTCGCACGCGGTTCGAGTCCGGACGACGGCGCGGCCATCGGTCGCCGCGATTCGGGACGGGCCGGATTCTCGGGGATTCGTAGCACGTGATGCGCGAGACGTTAACACGCAAATGTCCGGGAGACGGAGGAGACGACCGGTGACGGAGCCACGNAGGAGGAGGTGGAGGAGGAGGAGGAGGTGGAGGAGAAGAGAGAGAGACGGCCGAGAACGGATTCCACGAGAACACGACCGTTACACGTGTATATTGTAATGTTATTTCTCCCGCACCGGATCGCTCGCCTAATATCCGTAGCACAAAGGAGTCCGTTGTGCCGCCGCCGGCGGCTGCCGCGGTCTTATCGGGACGCGATCGGTCCGGTGCCGCTCGCACGCTAATATCGTCGCGTCCCTCTACAGCCGCGTAACGTGCGGCCGGGTACCCGGAGCCGCGCGGCGACAGCATTACGGTAAAATGTGCGCCACATGTCCCGCGCCGCCGCCGACTGAGACGGCGATAATGATGAAAAATAATAACACGGCGTGCGATATTAAAAATAAAATATCACAACGCATACGCGCGTATCGTTATCGTAGAATATTCCGTTTTCTCTCTCTCAGTCTCACTCTCGTCTCCTGCTTGGGTCTTCTACCCGCCCCCGCCGTCATACCGTTACCATTATCGCGTTATTGTTACGACGTGAATGCATCGCATTACTTCGTGCGCGACGACGGCGCGCACCGTGCGACCGTTTTTCGACTCGGTCGTGAGACGTTCGCGCGCTCGCCGGCGGCCGCGTCCCCCGTCATCCGCGGTCTCCGTCGAACGATCGGTTCCGCTGTCCTTGCGCGCGTACGGCTTTCGGGCCGCCGGACGCGGATCCGGACGCGACGGGCTCCCCCTCCGTGGTCCTCCTCCCCAAATCGACGCCGGGGTTTCAAAAGGGGTACTGGCGGACATACGCCTTGTCGTCGGGCGTTCCCGGACGCGAACGTCGCGAAACGTACCCCGACACCTCCGGTTATTGGCTTCGCTGACTGGACGGCCGAGGGAATTTCAGGTGCCTGTCGCGTTCCGACGCCGAAATACCAACTCCAATGCACCGGCCGAACGATCGCGATGCCGTACAGCTGAAACGGTTTTTATTATGATTATTTGAACCGTCATGAATTGCATCGAATACAAATAACATCATTGAGTCGGTTTTGGGATAGAGAATGATAATTAACAATTAATAAAAAAAAAAATTCCTATATAAGTAGCAAAATAAAACGATAGATAAAATACAAGTTAAAATTTTAACAATAGAAATAGAAATTGTACGTTATAAATACAATATTGTTTTGTTTTATCTAACAAAACATATGGAGGACTTGGACCGATTGAGAAAACAACCAGTGGTGCACAATTCTTTTAACGTTAATTTTAGAATTTTAGTCAATACGTTTTTCATATTGACACGGCATAGAGTTAAAATATACAGACCCTAAATAATTAGGAAAAGATTGACCAAAAGATTTATAAGAATATTTGTCAGGTATATTATACGGTATATTTTCTCTTCCAACAATCTGTAGTCTTTGCCTAGTGTAAACCTTTTAAAAGTGAACAAAATGATAATTTTTTTTTATAGCGAAGCCTAGTCGGTAAAATACCCAGATCCCTATAATTTTGATTCGTAGAACTTTGCAGGGAATTCTTATTTAGGCAAATTCTCACTGTGCTATTCTGGTTTACTTACAATTTATTGATAACAGTATCACCTAATCGCTCCTCGTTCTAACATTCCATATTGGAATATTGATTAATATAGAGCAAAATAAATAATCCGTATTGTTTGCTTAGGCACTAAACCCCCTAACTTACAGAATTTATAAGTTATCGAGCGTAGCTTCCCAACTAGATTTTGAATATTCCATCGTAAATTTTTATCAAATTTGATACCTGAATAACGGGTACTAGTTACTTCTTTGATAGGTATGCATTTGTTTACGTCAACGGCTGTTACCATCGACACACCCATGAGTTGTTATCGGGTTAAGATTTGGAAAACTTTTATAAATCGAGAACGGGGCGTAAACACGGTTTTTTCTTTATTGAGTGTAAAATTTTTGTCTCACGGACGTTGATAAACTTTGTCCAACCCAACAGTCGCTTTTTCATGAGCCCCTTTCCTAGAATTGTCGGCAAAAAGTAGGCAGGTGTCGTCTGCACACGAAACATACTATAACATATCTCTGCTTTGCCCAACCTGGGCTGCCCGCGAGTGAGTTTGAGTGGGGTACTATACCGTCCAATTGAGATATTACGGTTGGAAATAATGGTGTGCTATGTTATTTTCTGATTAAGGTGAAGATAACCGGTAGCAACGAAAAACTGGTAATTTGGTAGCTCTTTTTTTTTTTTTTATGTATAAATTATATGTTGGTATGTGTATAGTGAGTATGAACAAATTGGATATTTTTGGATTAGATTTTTTTATTAGCCCAGAAGGTAGCCGCTGTGAAATTCCCTCGGCACACGTTTTGTTTGTTACCGACCCGTTAATTAAATTGTATAGCTGCAAAATAATTCGAAAACAATTTATTATCACGCGTCGTTCTCGTTTCTACTGGATGAATCGCTGCAGTCCGATGTAAATATTTCTTTTCGCGCTACTATAGCGAAACAGTTTGGAACATTTTATTTTATTATTTTTTTTTTTTCCTATTTTTTATCGATGTTTTCTTTCTGTTTCTAGACAATAACCGGATGCAATATTCGTAATAAATAATATAATATGCTATGTAAAATACAATATATCCATATACGTTCCGCTATACCGTATTTGTCTATAAGCTTTCGGAACATCCACATAATATCCAATATATAACTATTCCTTCGATACCGGGAGAATCCTTTGTGAAAATTCTGTAAATCGTTTCCAAGGGTAATTCCAGTCGTTATATATTATTACGTTTAATACCTACTCGTGCCGCTGCAGGGTTTTGAACAAACAAAAAAGTGAACCTTCCGCGGACGGAGAGACGGCTCGCCGCTGTACGATAGATACCGTGGAGATATCGAAAACCCCTATTTTAATCAAAATAAGCCCGCAGGGTTTCAAAGGGACGAAAAGTAAAACAAAAAACGTCGGACGATATACCCGCCGAAGAAATAAGGGTATTCGGCCGAGCAAATAGAAGGAACATCGCAGTGTTCCTATTTTATATTTTTTTTTTTATTCTATTTTCCGTAATACTCTATAGCTGGTGCACACAAATATCATGTTATACATTTTTGTAAATATGCGATTAAGTTTTCGAGTAGCTGCGCCAATATTGCCGAGTTTCGCGAAAATTCCCATCGTATTTATTTACTTATAGGAAAAATTTATTGAAAAAAAAAAAAAATAGTTATCATTTTTGTTTCTGACCCGGTTAAATTGACATTTTCCGTTTTATTGTTTTCGCATACCTAACCGAAGCCGTTTTTGTATCGTTTAACTCGACACAATTGATGAGTTCAATAGTTTCATTAACTTGTCCGCACATCCACCGGTACGTAATGTTTTTGGTTAGTTTTGTTTTTGCTCGTAAACAAAATTTGCACTTGCAGACCAACAAACCGATTGGGCCACACCAAGTGCGTAATCGGGATTTTCGATCACATTATTAAATTATGATTCTAACTATGTAGTAATTCAAAAATAAGGCGGGAGGTGCCTAGTTATGTAAATTCGATTCACACGTATAAATTAATTATAAATTTGTTTACCTTTCTTCTTCAGGCGGCAAATTGATCTGTTGAATTTGATAAAGGTGATCGTAGTAAATAAAAAGATTTTAATATAACAACTATTTCTTTTTTATTAATTTTTAAAATATAAAACACTGTTCTAGGTTCCCGTGCTTTTGTAAGAATCTCTGCGTAGTCTTTTACACTCGCTTGTGATCATCTGTCCAAAAGCAACGGGAACAATGCATACACTGTGTGGGTGATTAGAAGTGTCCGGCCTCCTTATAACTGGAGATCTGTGTGTGTGTGCGTGTGTAAATTTATTATCTTAATTTGGTTAATACTAACAACTTAATCTAATAATTAATGGCTACAAATTAATATAAATATTTTACAATATTGACTATATAATTTATTTTAATTATATATGATATCTTAAGTATTATCTCCTTACGATGAGTAAATATCGCACTAAAATATATGTTATTTGATAAGAAAAAAGAATGGCGTCGTATGTAAATGTTTAACTATAATTTCCGTTGTTAATTGTTTGACTTATAATATTTTATTTTACATAATGTATGATAGCTTACATAGCATATCATTACATCCACCCCAGTCTCTTTTTTGTTATGCCCTCATAACAATGCATATTATTTTATAAAGAAATCAATGTATAATATTAAATTGTAGTATTAATAAGGGGAGAGAGTAAAATGAATATACTATAAAAGGGGGGTCCGTATGCATGTGATGTGTGGTGGATACTTATTTTATATTGAAGTTCTTCGAAGATCTGGATACAATTGTAGAGTATGGTGTTTTTCTTCCGTTGTCTTGTTGGTCATAGTAGTAGAAACAGCCCCGCATCTGTTCGAGTTCTTCTTGTGCATTAGATAATGCGTTATGTTTTAGAAAATGCCCGCTATTGATTTAATGCTCCAACCAAATGTGTTGTAAAGGATGGATATCTTCAGTATGGTGTTGATAGTCATTTGCTATCACAAAGATTCCTAAGAGGCTGAATGCGACATGTCCTATCCCAAATTTTTGTAATTCAGAATGGACCATATTACTTATTGTTTGTTGGCTTATAATATTCCTAGNCCACAATCATAAGCTATACATTTGTTTGTAGTTGTGCAAAATGTAAAGAATATAAACAGAGAGTCTTTGAGCATGTTGATTATTTGTATTATATAATAAATAAAGAAAAAAAAATATCTATATATAAATAAATGAACAAATAGTTACAAATAATATAAGGAAATTGTGATAGTAATAATATGGAAGGGAAGAGAAAGAAAAAACCTGTGAATAAAAGTTTATTGATAAGTAGGTATATAATAATTATATTGGATGGGTGGAAGAGTATGATCATTTCTATTTGTTTAGCGTTTGCGTGTATTTATAAGATTATAAAAAAAAAAGGTATATTACGTATCTCTTTTTTTGTTATATTAGGTGCCCTACTCGATAATACTATGATAGCTGAGCGTAATAAGATGGTAAAAATGGTTAAAACGTATGGTGCCATATAATTATTGTTGTGAGGAGGCCTTTCAGATAAACGGTTTTTATGTATATATATATGTATGTATGTATATTTTATTATATTATATCTTGTTATAGTATTATTTGTTATTATTATTATTATTTTTTTTATTTTTTTTTTTTTTTTAAACGTATTCTAATCTGCCTACTTTTTCTATCTATTAATGTATGGTTTCATTCTTCTGACATGAATTATGTCATTAGTCGTTTTATTATCAAAAATTGTCTCGATTTCCTTTTAATATTAATTGGGATTTGGTCAATTTGAATGTTGTTAATTGATTTTATAATGTGGGAACAAAATTGGTCATTATTTTGTTGGCTTTTTATATCCGCTAAGTCAATATTTAAGTTATCATTATAAGTTTTAATATCAATTTTATTAATGGGGTTTCTAGAAAGAGCGTCAGCGACTCTGTTCTCCTTTCTTTTTTGTAGATTATTTCGAAATTGAAATCTAACAATTTTAGCGTTAGTCGAGCTATTCTAGCCGATGGTATTTTCAAGTTTGTGTAATATTGTAAGCTGATATTGTCATAAAATACAAAAAAAATGTCTTCCCCATAAGTATTCCCGAAAGTATGTAATGCCGAAACATAGTTCTAATGTTGTGGACGAGTAAGTTTTTTCGTTTTTTAATAATTTTCTAGAGGCGTATCCAATTGGACGTAGTATGTTATTTTTATCGCATTGTTCAAGGCAAGCTCCTACACCTAATAACGAAGCGTCTATAGTTAGGTAAACTTCTTTTTCGTCATTAAACTGTTTTAACTGATTAAAGGATTGTTCGTGTTCATCGTTCCATATAATTTTTTTAGTGTCCCCCTTAGTCAATTCAGTGAGTGGGTGAGCTATATTCGCAAAATCTTTTACGTGTTTTCTGTAATATGAACACATACCTATGAATGACCTAACATCTTTCTGAGTTTTCGGTTGTTTAAATTCAGTAATTGCTTTCGTGTTAGTATCAGAGGGTTTTGTACCGTCTCGAGATATTATGTGACCAAGTAATTTTATTTTGTTATTGAAAAACTGACATTTAGTTGTTTTCTTTTTTTTTTTTTTTGAATTACCTATTAGTTGGTTGATAATTTTATAAAACGTTTAAGCTAATATTATGTTCGCTATATTTTTTGGAGGTGTGGTACGAGCTTTTTAGTTGGGCGCCACTTTGTAGTAATTCAAAAATAAGGCGGGGAGTGCCTAGTTATGTAAAATCGATTTACACGTATAAATTAATTATAAATTTGATTACCTTTCTTCTTCAGGCGGCAAATTGATATGTTGAATTTGACAAAGGTGACCGTAGTGAATAAAAAGATTTTTAATGTAACAATTGTTTTTTATTTATTAATTTTTTTTTAAAATATAAAGCACTTTTCTAGGTTCCCGTGCTTTTGTCAGAATCTCTGCGTAGTCTTTTACACTCGCTTGTGATCATCTGTCCAAAAGCAACGGGAACAATACATACACTGTGTGGGTGATTAGAAGTGTCCGGCCTCCTTATAACTGGAGATCTGTGTGTGTGTGCGTGTGTAAATGTATTATCTTAATTTGGTTAATACTAACAACTTAATCTAATAATTAATGGCTACAAATTAATATAAATATTTTACAATATTGACTATATAATTTATTTTAATTATATATGATATCTTAAGTATTATCTCCTTACGATGAGTAAATATCGCACTAAAATATATGTTATTTGATAAGAAAAAAGAATGTCATCGGATGTAAATGTTTAACTATAATTTCCGTTGTTAATTGTTTGACTTATAATATTTTATTTTACATAATGTATGATAGCTTACATAGCATATCATTACAACTACACGTCGATTCCGAGCAATATTTTTGGTTGAAAAACAGCTGGAGGGGTGAGAGCGTTTTAACACCCAAAACAGCCCCCCTACCCAGTATTACTATTTATTAAATTTTTTTTTTTATTTTGTACAAGTAATTGAGGTTCTCGGCGGTCGCCGCGTATTTTTCTCGGCCCCTTCCTCCCGATGAAGGGCCCGGCGATTTCCGCTCGTCTCCCCGCAGTCGCAGGCCGTCACGTTTCGCAACAGCCGTCGACCGTACGTTATCGGAAATAAATCAAACGCGGTTTTTCCTCGGCCGTTCACGAACTGTGTTTGCGAATCGGCCGTAGCGCACGATATCCGCGGTCCTCGTCCGTGCGCGTACGCGGTTCGCTGTTCCCCGGGCCGCCCCCGCAACACGGTTAACATCGAACGAAATTAAGTGCACTCGTTGCCGGTTTGGCCGCGTAATAGGCGAGCGCGGCGGCGCGCGCGCGGGGGCCGCCGCAGCTCGTCAAGAACCGCCGCCGTTTCGCGCGGTTTGTCAACGGGAAATATTCTAAAAGACCCCCCCCCACACACACCCCCCGTCGCCGCACGGACTGCCGTTCGCGTATTTCCGTCCTACCTATACGCGCCCGCGGATAACGACCGAGTCAGTTTCAGCAGCGGCGAATCCGCGCGCACACGCCGCCGCTGGTATTTTCGCATTGCGCACGCGACGCGAACGCGTAACCCGCCGCCCGCCCTGCGCGCGCGCACATTAAAACGCGCGCACGCATCGCCCGTCACGTCAGAGGCACACGGTGCGTTTTCGGGATTGTCTAATCGAGTGCATCCGGTCGTCTGCGTACGGGCGGTGTTTTTTATTTTTTTTTTAATTTCGCAGACCGCGAACCGACCCCGGCGAAGACGCGCGAGTCGTCTGCCGCGTACGCGAACCACGCGAAATCCCTGTCGATTACGAATCTCTTTTTTTACACGGGCCCGAATCCGCCTGCGCCGGGCAGCCGTCGTCGTACGGGGCACGTACGGCGTGTCTGGCCGCGGGGGTTTTTTTTTTTTTATTCATATCGTTGCGCGCGCGCGTCGTTTCCATTCCGTTTCGCGAACACGGTCGCCGCAATTGGAAAAAAAAAAAAAAAAACCAATTCGTATTTGCAATAATTTAACGCGTACGGCGGTGGGCGCGGGCGCGTAACGGCCGGTGTGCGATACGGCACCGCGCGCTTCTCGGTCGCCCGGCGCGCTCGTTACCGCTGGCTCGTCCGCACTCCTCGCGTTGTACGATACGCCCGTGCAGGCGACGACGGGCGCGAGAACGTAACGGTCGGCGGTGTCTATGAATAGGTATACGGTTCCGAACTCGACCCGCACGCCTTGCGTTACGGGGCGCTCGATTAAACCGAACGGGGTTCTGCGAAAAGAAAAAAAATCCAATTGTTTTTTTTTTTTTAATCGACTAGTTCCGGGACCGCGAGCCGGCGCGCGCGAGAAAGAGCGGTGTACACACAGAAAAAAAAAACCGAAAACCCGAAAACCGCGAGAAACACGACCCGACCCGTTACGTTTACGTTGCGATTGCGGCGATTCGAAACAAACGCAATTATCGTGCGCCGATCGTTTCGCCGCACGCGTATTTACGCGCGATACGCGCACCCCGTCGATTATCTGACGTACGGCCGACAGCTGTGAGACGGTTTTCGTCGTCGGAACCGGCCGTTGATCGCTCGTACGGGCGGGCGCCGGTCAACGATTACGGACGCGATTCGCGGATTCGCCCGTTTTACCGTATAAATAACGCGACGACGACGACGCGACGGAGCTGCTGTTTTGCCGGTCGATAGACGAGTCACGACACGCGGTCGAATACCTCTGTCGGATGAGCTTTCGCGTAGCTGTTTTTTTATTTTTTTTTGTTGTGATTGGATAATAAATAATTGGTTCCGGGAAAGAAGTTCTTGGGTCGATTTCGCATAGTTTTCAACGCGAGCGATTTAATTATTATTTATTTCGTATATATATTTTTTTATGTATAGTAAACGTTATTTAAACGAAAAAAAACGCGTTAAAAATAATACGATTACACCCGACATAATATTATCATCTACAGTTATCTTTTAGCGTCTTTTTTTTTTTTCTCTCGGTCTCCCTTTCTTTGGAATATATTTGTAATTATTATAAGACCATTTAAAATATTTCACCGGATCGGATACCATCGTCGCCGTCGCCGCGCACAACAAACCGGTGGCGGTCCGAAAATTATGACATCCTCTCTCGCACTACCCGTCCCTCCTCGCCCCTCCCGGAACCCGTTTTGGCCCTACGGCTGAAATAAACACACAGACGACTCAAAAGTTGTAATTATTGTTTTTTTTTTTTTTTTAAACGCACACACGACTATAATGCGATCGTGTTTGTATTACCCGTACACATAGACGCGCGCGCGCACATACACACACACGCGCATATAACGTTAAATACACAGACCGTAGCAGGTGTCTGTCCGCATACCTCTCATAATAATATTACGGGTATACCTTATACCGTATAATATGTTATTATTTAATTTTTTTTTTTTTTTCACCAGTAGGTAGGTAGGTGTGTATAGATATAAGTTAGCGTATAGGTATAATATTATTATTACGCTTCCAGTGTCTTTTTTTACAGATACGCGTACACGTTGCACACACGCGCGCATAAACTGCTGTCGAACGGTCGACGATGCCAATATTATTACATACGCGAGCTGCAGCGACCATCTGCCGATAATTTTTCATTTTATTTCAGTTTTTTTCATACCTATTTTTTACCCCCTCGTCTGTTTTTCTCTCCCGGTTATTATACGTATAAATATAGAGGTATACGGGTAGACGGGTACTATATAGGCACCCTATATAAACACGCGGGGCGTGGACCACAGCCGCCGCCGCCGCCGCCGTCGTCGTCGTCGTCGTCTGTGATCTGTCGGACGGACAAATTTCTCTCGATAATTGACGGTGTGCGCGAGTGTATAATAATAATAATAATAACACAAATAATGACGTGTATCTATGTAAACACACACGCACGCGCGCCAGCGCCCATACCGGGTGAACGTTCGATCGATAAAAAGTAATAAATCGTTATTGTTTGTGTATACTTAATAATTTAACACCTGTTAATAAATTCAAAAAAAAAAAAATTCCAAAACTCGACGACGACGTTGTTTTAATGTGATAATAACAATGCAGTGCCCAGACGCGATAATTCCGCCCGGACGCGTATTCACAGACCGCGTCCGAGTTCGGCCCGAGCGGTGAAATATGCAAAAACACGCGACCGGTCGTGTTTTTCCATCGGATGCGCGTTCGTTTATCGGTTTACGCTCAGGATTCTAGAGCTTCCTCGGAGCAGTCATCAACGCCCGTATCCGATCCGGATCAACGGGTAGACGGTGTAGATTTTTCGATTTCTCTGCGCTTTTTTAAATACGAAATCGCTGCGGATTAGTTTTCATCGATCGGGTATGGGTATAGTGGGTCCTGGGTGTAAACTCACGACACTAACTTTCTCGGAACCGTACCTACCGAACGGTAGGTTTCGTTTCCCAAAGCCAACTAGGTTACGTTTCGGTTTGGGCCGAACTCGGATAGGGCCTGTATAAATACATAACCGGGACACCGATGATTTCGTTCTGTTAATACGGTCGGAAATAAAAGAGTTAAAAAAATCACACACACAATTATAGTACGGCGAAGACGACAATACATTGAATTTTATTTAATTTTCGTCGAAATATTACGATTTTCAAACTGCAGGCCCGTGACCCGTGACTCGCGATAATTCAGTTTCGTCGTGTGTAACCACCGTCATCATTGACCACCGACTAAATGAGAATACGGAAATCACGACATACCCATACGAAATAGACAGTACGTAAATTATTTCTATTTATTCGTAATGTTTGGAATATATAGCGGAAAATACGACGGATTTGAAAACCGGACGAATGCGTCTACACACAAAGTGTCGTTGTTTGTCGCAGTGCTGCGGCCTGTGTGTTTCTCACCGCGCTCTAAAAAAAAAAAATAAAAAAAATCTTCACATGAGTCATTTTCACGGGCGAAATCGAGTGTGACGTACAATTACTCAAAAGACGTCCCGTGAGCGCGGTCACGCGTTATTAAAACCATTCGGAAGACCCTGGAAATATTATTATTCTCGCATACGATACCGGTTAAACCGTATCACGATCGTGAAAACTACAAAAAGCAAAACCGTTTCGTTTCGTCGCGTCGCGCGCCGCGAGTGGGTAGACACCGCGATAATACCCGTGACGCGGACGTCTGCGGTGTGAACGATTTATGATTCGTAATTTTTTTTTTTTTATTCGTACGTAAACACGTAACGTTCTCGTTCGGACGGGACACGCGCCGG